CGTAGAATATACTGGGAAAGTTTGGCGGGAAAAACTGGACAACTCTGTGTGCGAATAAATTTGGAATTTTTTAATATCGTACTCAAAGGAATAAGAAGTGTTTCGAATTTAAATGAACCTTAGTGAAAAATACTCGCGATACAGGAGATTACGACGTCACAGCCTACTGTGAATATTTATACACTATGTGATTAATACCTACCTCGATTTAAATGTACTAACGATTACGTTGCTTGCTAGAGCTCGTTAGATTGGTCAACACGATTTAAATATATCTTATGCGCTTAATTTAGCTCGCAGAGAAATTTCTTTGCATTTGATTCGCGTGGAAAATTGCTAGTTTGTGCTCAGTTAAAATGAACTTCTATTCTAAAATTTCTATTTTAGCTACTTTGTACAATTGCACCCCTTATCCGTCGATATGTCGCAATTCAATGCTTGCCCTCTTCGTTCGTGCGATATTTTAAACATGGAAAATGGTTACGACGGAGAAATAAAATATTAAAATAAAATATTATTAAAATCGCGCAGGTTGTATAGTCGTTTTTATGGAGGATGTTGGAGAAATTTCGATTATAGGCGAGTGGTATGGTGCTCCTTGTCAGACATTTTCTTTACACGTTTGACGAGGCTACATTGGTTGAACGATAACACGGTAGCAGAAGTGGCAGGTAGCCCCTAAAAAAATTCATAGCGCGAGTGAAACGGTTTGCTTTACTCGAAATATCCTTGAAACGATCTAAGGAGTGGCCTCGGTATGGAGAGGCAACCACCCTGAAATGGAGAGTTCGTGATTTATTTTATCGTTGAACTCCATGGAGTGTCTCATATATTCCTATCTTTTTCCCTTCAGTTTCCACCTTCTCTACGATACAGTATTTTTTCCATCCTGTCTAAGGGTGCAAAAGTTCAGACGATACTTTCGTACTAGTCATCGGGATGATCCAATAAAATATCTTGCAGGTATACTTGCGATAAACTTTCGCCATATTTTTGGTAATATCAATCTTCAATTTTTTTTCTGTTCGACGATATGAGGGTTGTGCATTGACTGCGTCGATTAGTGCGAAAATTCGAATAATTCGGTGTATTCGAATGCCGATAGAATTCGTATTTCAATTTTGAATAATTAAACTATTCGAATAAAGAATTCGTATTCGAAATAATCCAAATTTCTCGAATCATTCGAGTGAAGAATTCGTATTCTCCTCCTCTTCCTCTTCCTAAAGAATTCGTATTGGAAACTATCCGAATTACTCGAATCACTCGGATAAAAAATTCCTATCCGAAATTCCGCGAATTACTCGAATCATTCGAATAAAGAATTCTTATTCGAAATGATCCAAATGAAGAATTCGTATACTATTCGAATAAAGAATTCGTATTCGAAATAATCCAAATTTCTCGAATCATTCGAGTGAAGAATTCGTATTCTCTTCCTCTTCCTCTTTCTAAAGAATTCGTATTGGAAACCATCCGAATTACTCGAATCACTCGGATAAAAAATTCCTATCCGAAATTCCCCGAATTACTCGAATCATTCGAATAAAGAATTCTTATTCGAAATGATCCAAATGAAGAATTCGTATTGGAAATTATCCGAATTACTCGAATCATTTGAATAACGAATTCGTATTCGAAATAATCCAAATTTCTCGAATCATTCGAGTAAAGAATTCGTATTCTCTTCCTCTTCCTTCTCCTCTTCCCCTTCCTACTCCTCTTCCTCTTCCTAAAGAATTCGTATTGGAAACTATCCGAATTACTCGAATCACTCGGTTAAAAGATTCCTATCCCTCCTCTTCCCCTTCCTACTCCTCTTCCTCTTTCTAAAGAATTCGTATTGGAAACTATCCGAATTACTCGAATCACTCGGTTAAAAGATTCCTATCCGAAATTCTCCGAATTACTCGAATCATTCGAATAAAGAATTCGTATTCAAGATAATCCGCTTAAAAAGTTAACGTCTCAAAATTATCTAAATTACCCAAATAATCCGAGCAAAAAAAATTACTCGAAGTTTTACATCCCGAGTATCGATCTTTAACACACGTTTCAATCATCCCGAACGGAAACCTCGTTGAACTCTCAAGTCAATTAAGAAACGTCTCCTGTTACCTTACCTTCGATCAGTAGAACACGATCCAATCAATATCCCGATGATACAGCGGCAATTTTCGACCCACAGAGAAAAACATGAAAATTTCATTCCACCTAATTATTTTCTGACAGCTCACCTACCGATTTATTATACCCTTTACCCTCTACGTACTTACTTCACCACACCTACCAGCTACTAAAAATTTAGATGTTTCAACGTGTACACACACACGCGCGCACACGCATCTGTCAAAGTCCCTCGTGTAAAAAAAGAAAAGAATGTACATATATACAAGGCGATCCGTTACGAAGTTTTTGAAGTAGCGTACTATAAGATTCCATCAATCAAACGGTGACTTCCGATAGCTACCCTGTGTATACACCAAAGATAAAACGCGTGTGTACATCCGGGAGAAAGGGAAACCGTAAGAGAGTGACGAAGGTCGACAACCTCCATACATTCGTCATTTTTTCAGCTGAATCTGACGAGTATAAAATCTAGGATACGACGACCGTGGGCTGGTCACGATATCATCGTCGTCGCCTTTTTCCTTTTTTTTTCTTTCTTCTCTCGCCTTACCGTCTGTGTGTGTGTAAGAGAGAGATTTATACAGGGTGTGCAGGAAAGACGAACGAAGACAAAAGAAATTGGGAGGGTTGAAAGGAGCGGAATACTTGGTCTTCTTTTTTCTTTTCTCTCTCTCTCTCTCTCTCCACGACGAGAAACGATAACGCCGAGGGAAATCAGCAGATTTCTCGAGATTTTCCGAAAAGATTCTTTCTTTCCCGTCTTTTCTATTTCACCGCAGAATTACTTTTAGATGAACATTTTTCACCTTTATCGTCGAATAATAAAATATCTGCCGTCGTATTTTGGTAAACGCGCACCATTACGGATAATAAAATATTCCGTTTGGAGCGGTGTAAATTTAGTAAATTCGCGTTTCCACGTTACGCTAGATAAAATGAACAATATTTCAATTTTTTCCCTCGGTTTTTGTGTCGTGTAAAAAATTCGATCAATTCGAACGGTGCAGTTCTATTTCGTTCTTTTACGTTGGAGAATAATTCTGTGCGTTCGTACGCGCGAGATTGATCGAAATTCGACGAAATTTCCCTTCTTGGGTAACTCGTGCATGTCGATTATTCAATAAAAGGAGATAAATATCGTTCGTGACTCTAATATGTTTTCACTGAACACAGTTCTTGGGATTTTGCTCTTTAAACGGCACGCGATAACAAGGCTGAGATAAGACTGCAGATCGATAGATAAAGCGAGAGTATTAAACGTGGAAAGGAAAAATACGTTTACTTTTCTACCTTGGTTATGCAACGTCGACAGATCAATCGAATCTTCCGAATAAACAAGCCAATTTTATTTTCTTTTGTTTTTTAGCAAATACCTTTTGAAATGCTTCTTTTTTTCGTAAATATCTCTTAAGTAACATCTGATGTAAAAGAAAAAGAGTGAAGAGCAGTTGGTCGGTTCAAAGACTCCGAAAAGTTTGCCAGCTGTTTTTTCAAGTGATTTCAATCCTGGCACCGGTGCCGAATTAGCTTTCCATCGTAATTCCCTTTCGTTTGGTGCACATGTAGAACAGTAGGCGCCGTTTCGGCTCCGTTTCCTTAACTCCTGTCAGCTCGTTGCCAAATCCGCATGCGCTATAAATTTCAATTCTGTCCTGACTGTACTTACGTGGGTTCGTACACGGGCTCCTCCCTCGCGCGAGGACAGTTTATCAGAAAATATACGCGGATGGAGCCGGAAAGATAGAAGCTATGGAAGAATGTTTTTTAAAGTAAGGCTGCCTCTTTTAGAGGAATTAATGGGAAATTTTGTGAAATGGACGAATGAAAGATTAGTATTTTTAATTTTTCTCGGTTTTCTTTATTTAATGCGAAATTTTATGAAATGGACGAATAGGGAATCAGCATTTTTATATTTCTCTGTCTTATTTTTTGGAGTTGTGAATTTAATGCGAAATTTCATGAAATGGATTAACAGGAAATTAGGATTTTTATCTTTCTCTGTTTTCTTAATTTGATGCAGAATTTTATGAAATGGACGAACAGGAGGCGGATATTTTTATTTTTTGGTGTCGCAAATTTAATGCGAAATTTTATGAAATGGATGAATAGGAAATTAGGATTTTTTAGAAACGTAGCGTGTCCACGAATAATTAATCAAAACCATATTTTCGATCGAAGTAATTAGCAGAATGTTACACGTTAGAATTTCGATAAAATCTCTCAATACGTTGTTTCATTCGTATGGCTGTTACAATTGTAGCGTTGTACCTTCTGTGGAATTGGTTTAATAATATGTTGAGAGTGTAGTGTGTTTGTCGAATCGTCTCGAGATTTGTGAAACGAGCGGATCGTACAGAAAAACAGGGAGTAAAAACAGTAGAACCGCGTTGTTATTGATATCGCAGAGTGCGTGAGACCGTTGATCAGATTATCATTATTCCTTTTTCACGTGTGTTTATAGTTATTATGAAATTATTGTTCTAAAATATATTGCACACCTTCTCTGTATCGTTAATGGTAAAACAGATACGGTCAGTTTAACGAAGTGGTTGGTTCTAGCTATAGAATGATATCTATAATAGACTTTGTGTCTATTCAACCTTTGCAGAACGACTTTTCAATACAACCAAAATCGGATTATCGAGTAATCGGCTCAGATAATGGTTGAGTAACGATGCAACCGGATTATTGATTCGTAACACTATCTACAATGATAATTCGTTATAGTTCTCACTGTGGTTCCGATAAAGTTCTTAAAAAACTCGTATTTACGACATTACAGGATGTATTGGTACATCGTAAATATTTCTCGATCAATTACTGTTTCATCTAATGTCCTTTTAACACGTTGCTTCTCTTTTGACTTTCAGCGAGATCTATTGTGTCGGAGAGTTACTGAAAACGGTCCAACTAGCCGAGGTCTTTCCAGACAGCAAAACTTTCGTCGATCTTCGTCTGGTAAACGATCCTGAAATAACCCTTGGCAAGTGAGTACCGGTTGACGATATTTCTAACCCTTCCAACGTTCCAAGGAATAAATCTATTATTCTCCATAGCACTGTAAACACAATTTTCAAAAATACAAGTGGAAAGCTTCTTACATATTGAACTTTGCATAACAAAAACTACCAATATTTCCAAACAGATCCAAATAAAGGTCCCTGTAAAAAAAGGAAACGAAAAATCGACGAACTATCTTGTTACTGTCGCAGTAAATTTAATCTGGATAAAAATTCAAAACTGTTCCGAATTCACATTTCACGTTATTCCCGAGCAAACGTGAAACAGAAAAAAAAAGTTCTCCCGCGCAAAACGTACCCTTTTGAGGCTTTATCAACCGCGCGAGAAATGCAGTTGACTGACAAAGGAACTTCCGTAATCCGAAAATTCCAATGTTTTCCCCACTTGGAGGATCTCAGTAACGAAATTATTAAAAATTTCCCCTTCGAGTAGGTAAAACACTTCGGAAACCACTTCGACTTCACAACCGCGATCGAACACATCTGTTGCGTATTAAAATCTTCCGCGAAAGGAGCAACGAGAAAGGGTAAAAATCTCTAGAATCCAACTTGGACGCGCAGCAAAGAAACGACTCGCGAGAAATCCAGGAGAATTTCGACACTCCTCCGTTGTTTTCACGGAACGTGTTCGCGATCTCAGCTCGGCGCAGCGTAAAGGGGGCCTGTCGGCGATTTACGATCCGAATGAAACGAAATCACCGTGACCGTGTGCGTTTTTAAGCCTTTGCCAGCGTTAAATCACTCGGTCTGTCGGGAGACGTTTATAGTATCCGCTTTACGACGCCGTGTTACGTTCACTTTCGTCCACCTTCATCGTACCTCGATCGCACCGTGTGAACTTGCATCGAACGAGTATAGTCGAACGATTCGATCTAGCGCGAATAGCTATTGCTCTCGTAAATAACCGTGCTTACAATCTGACGAAAGTTAGCGTGGCGACGAGCTGACTTTTCATCCTTTCTCCTCGATTACGCTGTCTCACTTTTTTCTTTTATTCTGTCACAGACGATCCAATTTGATCTCGCGAGTGATTTCGATTCGCGAGCCTGTCTTGTTCGTAACGTACGACAGGCAATTCTCGTTATTCCCAAACGTACAATTTGTCCGTGTTTTTTAGAGCTATCGCGAATGAAACTGGTCGTTAGTTTAGCGATATCGATTGAAATCGCCGGTCCGAGCGATGTTTGTTTTCAATTCCACGATCTACTTATCGGGAGATTAATTTTCATGGATTTTCTCCTCGTTTTCGTCGTATGGGTTTTCTCTAATTATTGAGAAATGGAGAATTTTAATAACGAACTCGTAACGGTACAGCTTCTTTCGCTGTTTTTCTCCGTTTTGCGTCTGTTTGTTTGGTAGAGTATTGTTGTGTTTCAAAAAGAACGTGGAATCGAGAGAATAACAATCGTCGATGTTCTCGTTACTTTTAGTGAATTTCGTTTGGTCGATGTTTTGTTATTTTTGTGTTTCACTAGTCGGTGTTTTGCGATTGGTTGAAAGTAAGATTATTTTTCGTTGGTGTGGCGCAGTTTCTATAGTTTGATGAATGCGACAGACAACAAACCGACTCGAAGAGAGGTGGCTCAATATGTTAACGAGAATTTCGCTACGTCGGACGAGCTCGAGAACTGGACACTGCCAGATTGGACGGATAACCCGACGATACTGAAACGCATTCAGGAACCCAAGTATCGTGAATGGGCGAGACATCTCAATGAGATTTGGAAGGATCTGGCGAGAAAGATGAGCCCAGACGTGGCCATGAATCCGGATAGGCACAGTTTGATTTACGTGAAGAATGGCTTCATCATACCTGGTGGTCGATTTAAAGGTAAATCGATTCGAAAATTTTTCTGTCCTTGTGAAAGATAGAATTCTAAACAGTCGGTGATAAATTACACGTAAAATCGGCTGTTAAATTAATCTTAAATACGAAGAAATAGAATGCAATATCAATTTGTTAATTTAGTTAATTCGTTAAAATTCTAAATTTTACGTGCATTTACACTAAAATCTATTTTATTTGAATTAAAATTAATTTTAAGAATAATTGAGAAGATAAGAGAAGAAAATTTGAAAAATCGTATTTTAGAAAATATTTTAATATTAATTTTGCAACACATATTAATATCGACACCTTGAAGATTTACGAGGGGATTGAAATGAATTTAACATGCGTAAATTACAGTTTCGCGGAAGTAGAGAGCTTTCGAAGCTGAAGAAAACGTGAAAATTTGCTTCTTTTTTTTCGACAGAGTTTTACTACTGGGACAGTTACTGGGTGATTGAAGGGTTGCTGTTATCCGACATGTATCAAACCGCCAGGGGAATGATAGACAATTTCGTGTACATGGTGGAGAAATATGGGTTCATACCCAACGGTGGTAGAATTTATTACCTTATGAGGAGCCAACCACCCCTATTACATCTCATGGTACGTCATGCTTTTTTCATATCGAATTTAAACTCGCTTTCCCCTCCCAAACCGTGTATACGGGGTGATTCACCTAACTTCAAATTACTCTTGAACTATTCTTTGTACGAAAAAGTACATGATTTCAAGAAAAACCTAGGTTAAAATAATTATTTTCCACATTTATTACACAAAGTTTCGAAGATCACGATTTTTTTCTGACAGAACACCCTGTATTTCTTTACAGCAATTGAAAGAGAATTGAAAACTGAGTAAATAAGCACTAATGCATAATAGCTTTAAAGTGAATATTTACCGAGATATGCACGACGAAAGTTCATTGCAAAAACTGTTCAAACAGCTGATAACTCAGAAACATATTTCACAGAAATTCGATTAAAAATATCTCGATAAATATCCACTCTAGACATATTACACCTTCATACTTATCTACTCGCTTTTTAATCCACTTTCGATCTACGTTTGAAGTTCTTGATTATCATTCCATCGAGAAATATTCTGAGAAAAATGAGTTTCCTTATTTACGCTATACGTCGTCTCGATTAATTTCACCGGAATTACAAGGAAAGCTGGTCAGGTGAACGGAGCTGCAGCTTCGAAATAATCGTGTTAATTACAATTGCATGGATCACGTGTGCCCTCGATTTCGAATGTATTCCATCGAGTTTGAGCTCACTTGACCGCGACTGGTAATAGCCTGTTCTCCGAAATTTCCACGATGCTCCGCCGAGTTACGGAGTCTACTAGAAAGCTCTTGTTTGAGGGATAGGTCGAGAATTTAAAGCTCGCCACGAGCTGGAACTTCCCCCGGGTTTAACCCACCTTTGCCCAAGTTTTCGTATTCCCCTTTCCCTGTCGGTGACGGGGGTCCGGTCCTTGAAGATTTCCGCGCAATTGAGTTGGGCAAACTCAATCGTCGGAAAATGTCTGTAATTTGAAAGGGAAATCAATAATATCGGTGAACGGGTGACGACTCGGTTAAATCTTCTTTGTGCAACGAACGTTCCGCCTTCTTTTTAAACCCTGGTAAATTGCTGTTTCTCTTTCTTTTTTCGCGACAGGGAAAGCGTTAAACGGAGGAGAAAGGGACGGGCGGAAATCACTCGCGGTCGAGTGTATTGATACAACGAAACGTTTTATCGTCGCATTATTAATGTAATCATCTTGTTTGATCTAAAACGAACGGACGACAAAAGAATCGGCGAAATTAGAAGTCTTTGTTACGGAGACTTCAATGCCCGGCCGCTCTTGAATCGAACAGTTTTCGCTCGAAGAAAGATTTTTGTGTTTCCTTGAGAGAAATTACGATCGATATTCTTCCTTCCGCCGGGCACTTTGCAACGGAGTAATTTTTAATCAAGTTTCTAAGCCGTTTAGAATTGTTCCGTGGAAAGAAAAACAAGCGAAATTTAATACCGGACAAGAATGAAAACACTTTATCTCTGTTGATGAAAGGAACGCGCGAATGGCACAAGTGGAGAGGAGGCTCCTTTCATTTCCACGAAATAAACGCGCAGCCTTTCACGAAAATGAAGGTGGAGAAACATAGTAGCGGCGTTGTGCGGCATAAGTCGAGAAATTTAGAATCGGTGCACTGGTTTGAATAAAACGAGAGGAGAGCCGCCGAGAATCGTTACCATGCAAACTGTTCGCGGGCACGTAGGGGAAGTGTATTTTCTCCGTGGCATGTGAAAATCTAAGAATGCACAGCGGGGAGAGTTCCGTGAACACAGCAGCTTCCTCGAACCGGTTTTCTTTGACAAATCAAAGAGCAATCGTGACTTTTTCTGCGAATTCTGCTTCCTCCACTCGATTTATATTAAAAAGAAAAATTCTACCGAAGAAAAATTCTCCACTTCGATGCTACCTATACACTTTCGAAAATATGTTCCATTCGTCGAACGAAGAATTCTCTAACCTGGTTTCGAGTAAAACGACTCGGTGCACGCTGCAGTTGGAGAATTAATGGAGGAAAATTGGGAAGATTCGAGTGAACTTGAGGATAGGAGACAGTTTTATGCAGCGAGTGGAGAAACAGTCGTGTGCAATCCACGTTTCGAAAACTTTTCTTTATCGTGACGGCGGTGGTATCGAAAAGTTTGATACGAAGTTGCGCCTACGCTCGAACGCTGTAGCCAGCTCTGTAACGTGTTTTCGGTAAAGATAGTCGGACTGTGTTACGCAGATGGTGCATCCAAGCTTGTTTATTCTGTAGATATTGGACTTTGGAAACAACGATCGAGGGTATCGCGGAAGTTTGCCGGACGTACGTTTACAGTACGTTTGTTGAATATTTGCGTTTGCGTGTTGTGTGTTCGACAGGTCTCGAGGTACTTGGATTTCACCGGGGACTACAATTATCTACGTACGATTACGTAGATATTGGACTTTAGAAACAACGATCGAGGGTATCGCGGAAGTTTGTCGGACGTACGTTTACAGCCTTTGTTGAATATTTGCGTTTGCATGTTCTGTGTTCGACAGGTCTCGAGGTACTTGGATTTCACCGGGGACTACAATTATCTACGTACGATTATACCCATGCTGGAGAAAGAGTTCACGTTTTGGCAACGGAGGAAAATGATCGACGTCGTGAAGGATGGGAAAACGTACAAGATGGGTCACTATGTTGTTGATAGTATACGACCGAGGCCTGAAAGTTACAAGTAATACGTTTGTTTAATTTTATTTTGAATTTTTTTTTTTTTTTTGACAGTTTGAATTAGAGAACGTGACCATCTGAGAGTTTTTTGCTATTCTTGCTCTCGAGAGTGTTTTGAAATTGTGTCCAGTGCGATACTTTGTGAGTGTAGTGATAAATTTGACTCTTGAGAGCAATTCTCGATAGTCTTACTCTCCAATGGATGTGTAGCTTTGGATAAATGTTTGTCACGGCGTAGATTGACGATTATTTCTTTAGTTTTCTGTGGAAAAATTGGGGAATTTTTTTTAGGGGATAGATCGACGATCTTTAATTATTTTTTTAGCTTTTCTGTGGAGGAATTGAGGAATTTTTCTCAGGGGATAGATCCAAATTTACACACATACTTTTCGGATGAAATTATACGATTAATTAGCATTCTTTGTCCGACCCGCTTTTTTTTTCAAGTGAGATAACAATATTGACATAAAATCTCGAAGATTTCCTTCGAGTGGTTCACTCGAACATATCTCAGCGTTACTTTTATTCGACTTTCCTCCTTTCACGTTCGATACGAAGGCGAATTTAATATTCGAAACGTTGTTGAGTGGCGAAATATCGCATATAAGCACGCGTGCTTGAAACTTGTAGCTAAGAGAGGCTCTGTAACCGTGGTACACAATGCAAATATTTAAATGACTGAATTTTCTTACAGCTATTGATATATAACGTAGACATAATCAAATGCAAATACACGTATTAATATACATCCATGAATCGCTGGATTCATTACCGTTCCGCGAGTAAATATTGAATCTATAACAGATCAAAGTTTGTTTAATCCACGTTGTGTATCGTGAACGAGGTAGCAACACCACAATCTTGTATGCACAGTTCAGCATTTATTTCACGGAAAAGCAATCTTCGCAACTACTCCTTTTACTTAATTAATTTTAACGAGTTTAGTTTAGACATATAATGGGTAGTAAGGATGCATAGTGCTGTGTTTAAATATTAACTTTGCATAGTTGACATCTCCTTCTAAAATAAGAGTATAATAGAAACTGTTTTTTCTCTGTTGGATTAGTATTTTTGATGAATATACGAGGAATGAGAGAAGAAGATGAGTGATTTTTATTTCTGGATTGATTTGGTTATTCAAATATTTTTAAATCTTCCATTATTCGATTTCTTAATATCTTGATTTCTTGATCTCACGATTTTTTGATTCCTGAATTTTTTGATCCCTCGATCCTTCGATCCCTCAATTTTTCAATTCCTCGATTCTTCGATTCTTCGAATCCTCAATTTCTCGATCCTTCGATTCCTCAATTTCTCGGTTCCTCGATTCTTCGAATCCTTAATTTTTCAATTTCTCAACGCCTCGATTCTTTGATTCCTCAATTTTTCAATTCCTTGATTTCTCGATCCCTCGATTCTTCCATTCCTCGATTCTTCGGTTCCTCAATTTTTCAAATCCTCGATTCTTTGATCCCTCGATTCTTCGATTCCTCGATTTTTCAAATCCTCAATTCTTCGAATCCTCAATTTTTCAATTCCTCGATTTCTCGATCCCTCGATTCTTGGAATCCTCAGTTTTTCAATTCCCAGATTTCTCGATCCCTCGGTTCTTCGATTCCTCAATTTCTCGATTCCTCGATTCCTCAATTTTTCAAATCCTCGATTCTTTGATTCCTCAATTTTTCAATTCCTCGATTTCTCGATCCCTCGATTCTTCGATTCCTCAATTTCTCAATCTCTCGTTTCTGCAGTTATTCGACTCCTCAATTCCACAATTTCTCCATTCTTTGATTCTTCGCTCATTCGACCCTTGAAACATTCGATTTTTCCACACTCGACAATTACAGGTCGCTCAACGCATTTATCGCCATGGTTTCAGAGAGGACTACAACCTGGCGCAATTATTGCCCGAAGAATCACAGGATTTCTTCTACAATAATATAAAAGCCGGTGCCGAAAGTGGTTGGGACTTTTCCAACAGGTGGTGCATAGGGAACAACAAAAGTGGAATGCTCAGTTTACTGAACATCTCCACGCAGTATATTATACCTGTCGACCTTAATGCGATTCTACAACAAAACGCCCGGCTTCTCAGCGAATTTCACACTCAGCTTGGAAACAATGCGGTAAGCAGTGAAACGTTCATTGGCGAACCAACCCTTCTGAAGTTCTCTCCATAAACTCTGTTCTGCATAATACGTTCCAATACGCCAGCGTGATTAGAGAGAATTGACGAACAACCTGTTTAACATGCGACCTGATACAATAGATCGATTACGTTAATACGTTGATTAATTTAGAAATTCGAGGGAAATCTTAACGATCGGGGAACGAAACGAATTGATATGTCTTTTAATTTTAGGAGATTACGGGGAATGAGTTACTTTCTTTGCGTTAACTGAGATAAAAGTGTTAAGATCGAGACTGATATGCAAATTAAGAAGGACGTACGAGAGGAACGTGTGCGAGAATGTAATTCCCGACGTGTTAGATAAGGGTAATCCTTGCGAAGGCTTATCTGTTCTGTTCCTTGAGATTAAAAATTGATACGTTTAAAACAGAAGAATTATAGAATGTTTGAACTTTATTTCGAAGCAATGAGAAAATACGAAATTTTCTTCTAGAATATTAGTCTAATATTTGCTGATATTTATTTTATACTCATTAAACTAACTTTTCATCGTATTTTATGAATTACCGTTTCTCTGTCTCGTGGAAGCAAATCGCGGAAAATTAAAAAAAAAAAAACAATTTCCTTGAAAATAGAATTAGGTGAAAATCAGGATTTGGAAAATAAAACCTAAGAAATAAACCAGAAAGTAATAAAATGAACAATTTGAGAAGAAATGGGTTGAAGAAAGCAGAAAATATTTCCAAAGTTGGATTTTATTGTCACAAAGAAATACTGCACAATGTTCCAGAAATCTCAGTACTACGCAAAAATAGCAGCAGAGCTTCAAATGGCAATCGACAACGTTCTGTGGAACGAAGACGTAGGAGTATGGCTGGACTACGACATAAAAAACAATAAATCGAGAAATCATTTCTATCCTTCGAACCTTGCACCACTCTACACGAGAAGTTACAATCGTCATCAACGTGAACACTACGCGTTGTCAGCTGTCAAGTATCTCATGTCGAAGAACATCGACAGTTTCTTCGGTAAGTTGATGTACAATTTGAAGAGAAAAAAAAAAACAAAAAAATATGAGATAGCAGCAACTTTTATGAAGTTGACAAAATACAGAAGAACGATTCGTGGAATGTCTCTGGCACTTTAATCCCGTCGAAAGATAATAAAACCTTTCTATGCATTTCGTTTTACGCTTTTGAAGAATTCCGAGGTTAAAGGTTAGACTGAAGTGAAGGTGTAAGGATGAAATCGAATGGAATCGAGATAAGATACAAACGCCCCATGCTTCTGTATCCTCGGTTACGCGGAAAAGAAAGGTTTTATCGCTTCGCGAAATGTATGCCTAGTATTGTTGAAACCCTGGTCCAGATGAGCTGATGAATACCGTACTCAACGTTTATTCAGGCAAACGGAAGTATTTCTTAGATAAAGCAATTTAGTCTTATCGAAGTTCGTTCAACCGATGTAGTTACACCTTCATTTAAACAGGAAAGAATATTATTTTTGCCTTTCTATGCAATTATTATGAATTATTTATTCACTTTTTACATCTTCTCTCTATCATTTTTATATCATATACTGCAGCTCGCGAATGAAGTGAAAAATTTTTAATTTTAGATATACATTTTGAAATTTTCAATATTTATGAATATCTTCTAACGCATAGATTTACCATCTGGAGAAACGTCAGAATTTTATTTGACATGTATTTCATAATTCTCTAATTAAGGAATTTCTTTTCGCTCTCAAAAATTCAATATTTCAAAGTTGTGACACTTTTTTCACAAAATTGCGATATTTACATATCGAACCTATCGATAATCTCACAACAAACAATTCAACGTCGCGTATTTAATTAACAAATCAACAAATTCTCCCTAATTCCTTACTAATTCCTCGTCACTTCTTCCAACCAAAAGTGTGAAAAGAGTATGCAAAATTTTCCCGCTAAAGTGACCTAGAAAGATACTAGAAAGCATACACTTGAAGATACATTTTGTTTCAAGTCGATATCTCAATTGGTTGCCGAGATATAAGGTTTTAAATGTAACACTCAAAACGTAAGGGATGCTGCTGAATGGTAGACCTAATTCGCGGAAGCGGCGTGACCTATATTCTTTTCCTGGAAACACGTACGAATAGTACGAGTAGTAGTACAAAGATGCTGACTCAGCGTCTGTCACTGACCACCCGACAGGTATAGCCGCGTGAGGTAGGTCAGTGACGAGCAGCGAGTGAGAGATCCGTGAGTGCGAGAAGGACAGCGATAGCGAAACCGTGAAAATTACGCTCGGATTTAAACGACGATATCTTCGCAACCGCTACTCCTATCCATATGAAATAAAAACCAGCTTAAAGGGGAAGGTTCCTAGTTTCTCACGAAGTGAAATTTACGAATATACCGTGTGTAGTTTTTTTGCAAACTTTCTTCAAACTTTCGACAATTTTAATACCTTCTCAAGTGGCAGTTTTTCGAACTTTTTAGATATTTCTATTTTTCACTGATTGTTTATTGGGTATTATGTTCGGTAGAATTAAAGAGGAAGGTTTGTAGTTTCTTGTGAAGGTAGATTTAGGAATATACCGTGTGTCATTTTTGAACAATACTTCTTTAAACTTTTGACACTTTTATCATCTGCTGGGAGGAAGTTCTCTTTGAATCTTTAAGCTATTTCTCTTTTTAACTAGCTTATTGGCGATTTATGAGACAGAATACAATTCATCTGATACGATTCACAGGGTTCAAAATTTATTACGAAAGTTAACGTTACTTATGATAATTAATTTCTCTTTCCATGTCTCTCTATTCAGTGTTAGAAGGCATGTATTCAATTTAATATTAGAAAGAATTTATTTATTATTCGATAAGACATCTGCAACTTTCCTGCAAACGATTCCTTCACTGATGAAGTATTAGAACCGTGAGAAATTGTTTAAATTGTCAGTTTGCAACGTGTGTACGATCGATAAGGTTTAATAAGCCTGACTTGATTAAAGTCGTTTTCATTTCTTCCTCACAGGTGGTACACCCTCGTCATTAGGTCATACGGGGGAACAGTGGGATTTTCCAAATGCGTGGCCACCGTTACAATCGTTTATAGTAATGGGTCTCTACTGGACGGGAGTTAAGGACGCGGTAGAGTTGGCCCATGAATTGGCGTTCAGATGGTTGGGTTCTAATTACCTTGGCTACGTCGAAACCGGGCATATGTTTGAAAAGGTGAGCGAACAATATGAAAAAGTGAACAATGTGAAAACTGTCGCAAACCGAGAAATTTCAATTTTCATTTTATCACTTTGTTTTAACATCTTCTGACAAGCACACAAATTTACCATAAGAGAAATGTCAGAAATTGAACGGCAATACTTGTAATTGGTAAATTTTCAGATTAACTAGAAATTTGGGAAATCTCCAAATTTTTAGAACTTTTCAAAGTTTTCGATGTTTTCGATGATTTGTGACACTTTTCTTCCGAGTAATAAATTTCTTTCAGACCTGCATAATTTCTGAATTTGTTTAGAACGTTTGAAACCTTTATCCCGCAATTTCTCGATCGATTTTTGCCACCAGGATGTTACGTAAACACTACCTTCGCTCTTTTATCGAAGTCGAAATTCGAGAGGGTATTTTCTCGGGATCCTAAGTGTTCTTTAACCTCTCTTTAGATCAACCAGATAACAAATGATGTTCCTTTGTAGAACAAGCATAAGGAAGGGAAACTGCAATTTCAAACTTTCGAACCGCATAAAAGAGACGGATAGTGGAAGCGTGATAAATTAACTTCAACTCGACAGTTTCTTCTTAAATTCCAATTCACGAGTCTTGTCGAGGGAAACAAAATTAAATACTGGATGTTACAAATTTCACAAACTTCAACAAAAAAACACACAAAAATTCTCTTTTTCTTCGTCAAAGTCTCGTTTGTTCATTAAAAGAAGATTCCTGTCAACTCTGAAAGTAACCATTGTTTCGTCTCGGGTTTAAAGTCTCCGACTTGAATTATTCAAAGTTGAAGGCAGAGAGAGAGAGAGAGAGAGAGAGAGAGAAAAAGGAGGAAAAATCATACACTTCAAACAATGACGTGAAAGTTACTTAAGCAGTCAGAATTTTAAAAGGGTACTCGTGCTAAAAGTGGACCCACTTAAACGATTTTAATTAAAGCCTCTTGGTTTACGGTGTCAGGCGGTAAAGACAGACACGAAAGTGCGAAATAAGACAATTCCATATCCTTTCGACCGAACATAAAAATTTCATACTTCACCTCTAATGATCCTTTCAAGCTGCACAGTAAACGAAGAAATTTCTCATATAACGGAGATTAGAGAATGTTTTTACCAAGAAAAAGTAACGCAACGAAGCACAGAATTTTTCTACATTATCCTTGTTTGTTCCCCGTAGTATACTACGATTTAACAGCTCTATTTAAATTCTCTACGAACTATGATCATTTTTCTCCCGCGTTATTCATTTAACCGTAAATCCAAACACGCACAAATTACAAAATATTCGCTGGAAACGCGAGTCAAAGTCGTACACGCGAATAACGATGCACAAATAAGCCAGGCTGTTCAATTTTCTTCTCGTACATAAACGAAGGCTTCACGGTCGCGTCACTTTGCCGACTGACATATGTCTGCCTTCGGGAAAGGGACTATCGGGGTTACAAGATGGATGCATAAATTCACGCTAAAATATTCCCCCCTCGACAAGAAAGCGCACCGGTGCCGCTCGGATTCGCCTGGAGATCGAATAAATCACTGTTCGTCATTTCTCAACCCGCCTATGAATTTTCACGCAGTCCAAACCATTCGATCCACAGCTTCCTTTCTCCACTTTTCCCCTTCACTCCTTCGTCTCTTTCTTTTTTCTTCGCGAACTTTTCTTCTCCTTTTATAGTTCGCGATCGTAAAGAGGATACTCGGACGTTCACAGAGCTCGTCATAAGCACGAATCCACGGTGTTTCCATACTTCATTGTTACGCGGAAGGAAATTTATGAAGCTTGTTCGCGGTGAGCGGCTTACCGGTGAAAAATATCCGATAGTTTTTCCGCAACCGGTCCTTCTTTTCCTGCTTTTCTCCACGTCAGACGAGACAGTCTTGGCTTGGACGGTGTGCGTTTTCAGAAGTTTCTTTCGGGAGAGGTTTTTATCGATTTAAACATTCGTTTGCTGAGCAAATTGAAAATTGTGAATTAATAGAAATTTTTACGAATGAATTTTCTTTGACACAGTACATATTGGCATATTAAGAGAAACGCAATTTTTGTTGGTATCAATACAGAGGAATATGTAAATGAAATTAGGAGACACGTAATATTAATACGTTTCCATTTCACAAGGATTTCCGGAATGCAATGATATTCTGCGAGCATAATAACCGAGCGAAATAAATTACGTTTAATTATTTCCGATTTACATTGGTAACAACTCAAAATGAATTTATTAGAGGAAACTAATGGAACCATCAACGGCAGAATTATTAATTATCGGGGAATTTTTCATAAAAGAATATTTTCTTGATAAACATTCATTATAGGTGGAATTCTTTTTTTCTCTTTTCTATTCGATTTTGTCAGAGAGTATTGATTTTTCGGAATGGCGCGTAATTCAATGTGACCGACATTATCGGATCGCGATGGCAAAGGGAATTAATGGTTGGAAGTGTGGGATCGAGATATACACGGTTTAAATGGAAAAAGTCCACCTTTGAAACTTGTCGAAGTAAAATCAAGGAAAATTTAAAACATTCATTGGCGTCGTTAAAAAGGTCGAGCACTCCTCGGGGTATTCTTTATTGTCGCCATGGAGAGGCGGCAAGGATGAAAGGGGATGGAATAGTATTTCACGTGTTGAGAATTTATGCCAATCGATATCGGCTCGCCATTCGATAGTTTAGAATGGTGGATGATTATCGTATCGGATTTTGTCGATATCGTTTCGCAGATGTGAAAAATATCTCGCTAATGATTATATCAAATTTATGAAAATCTTTTCTCTTCGTAGGATAAATGATAAAAAAGAGTGTGCTACTTTGAAAAATTATAGTTTCCAGGAATTTGATTAAAATTCATTCGGATTAATTGAAGCCATAAATTTAATTAATCTCCCCTTGATTTGATAAAATGATAAATTTGAAAATTTTTTTAAATTCCCAAACGTCGTATAAATCTCTTCTTCTCTCTTCTTGGAACAGACAATAGAAGAAAAAGTGTGGTACTTTGAAAAATTACAGTTTCCATGAATTTTACTAAAATTAATCGAAGCAATAAATTTAATTAATTTCCGCCTTGATTTAATAAAATGATAAATTAGAAAACTTTTAAATACTCCCAAACGTTCAAACGCAAGAGTTCGTTCTGAGAATTTGAAGAATTTAGAAAATTTGAAAGATCGAAGAAAACTTGCCGCAGCGAAAGGGTTAATTAGATACGTTACGACGATAGTTTCGTAGTTTTATCGCGCGATAGATTGAAACTTATCTTCCGGTAACGATTTCTAACAACGTGACAATTCACAATAAGCTATCTTAATGTCCCATGTTTAATTGGAAAGCTTTTCTTCGAGTCGTTCTCTCGTGTTCATGTGGTCGTCGTTAGTCACTCCGAATCGAGAAAGAAGATTTAAGAGGCCATCCCCATAATTGCGTCCCCGCTGTGAACGACGATAATTCTTGATTACATTCGAGAAATATTGGGAGGAATTATGGTGAACGTTAATCTGATTGTGCGAGATAGAGCCATCAATTAACCGGGGGGAGAATTTATCATAACGGAGTGTAATTGTGTTGAAGAATATGAGGGATATTATATATCGCTAGTACAATTGCATCGAGGTAAAACACGAAATATTCCGATAATTAACAAACCAGAGAAAGAAGAAAAGAGAACTCGAGAAGACGTAAGAAAGTCGATGAGAGAAAGTTTCGAATATCGCGATAAGAGAAGAAATTTTTCAACTTCTCGATGGAGTGGAAAAGTTTATTGAAATTGACATCGTTCGGTTGGTACAAAAATTAATTAGCACATTAGTATATTCGTTCCTCGATTATAATCTTGCGTCTCGCGTAACAACTCCCAAGTACATTTCACAAAAAAAAAAAAAATAAAAAATAAAAGGAAACCGAAGAAAAGGAACAGATTTGCATTTTTATTCATTCCTGCCGTTTTACTGGCCAGCTCTTTCGCGAATTAAACGCATTCGTTTACCTTTAAACGAGAGGGGACTAATGCAAAGAAATGCAAATAGCGTTCAAAGGGATAATGAATTTTTAAGTATCCACCCGTCTTACACAACTTCCAGATTCTGTTTATTATGAAAGCCTTGTCTTAAAGCAGCCCCTCTTCCAATTTCTATGAGAAACTTCGAACACGACTTGTCCTCTTCGCTTCGAATTAATAACACAATTTTAATCCCAACTCGTTGCCTTCGAATTTCTGAAACATTTGCTTCGCCAACCGGCACAAGTGCCATTTGAAAACCAGAAGTTACACGTACATACATACACTTTCTTATCCTCCCCTCTTCTTGCAAAGTTTCGACCGAAAGAGCAAGGTTCAATTTTCCAAAACGTTCGACTTTGTGTAAAGTTTAATTAACCATTGTACGGAAGATTGGGTAGGAAAAGTTGATTATCAGCTTGTCGACGATTAGAATTCGGGGGTAAAACTCGTGTGAGGATGCTGCTGTTGAGGTTGGAACACGGTGTTCTTGGAAAATTGGTTAGAGACGACGCGAGACTTGTATAAGACAGCAGCTGCTGCAGCTGTGGGAGAAAGTTAACAAGGAAGAGCTCTGTCAATCTGTGCGCGACTTAATTAGCCGGTCTATGATAGGGGATGGTTGCTTTGAGAAACAAGAACGCGTGATTACTCCGTGTGATTAGCGTTTTAATTGCAGTACGACTCGATCGTGCCTGGCCAAGGTGGCGGCGGTGGGGAATACAACGTGCAGACAGGCTTCGGATGGACAAACGGCGTGGTCCTCGAGTTCCTAGACACCTTCTCGACCATCAGGGTGAGGGAGATCGGGTATGAGAGCGACTGGAACGTGGAAATCGGACAGTAACAGGTGAGACCAGGGAAATTGGTGAATTGAAAAAGTTTAGAAGGTGGTGAGAAGAGGATGGGGAGACGAGATTTAAGTAATTGCTTGTGCTGGACTTTTATATGATCATTTTTAAATGCACTTTCGAGGAATTAAGCGAGTTAATCAAAAGATGTGAAGTACGTCATATTTGTATTTTGAGGAAGTAATAGAACTATTGGTTGGAACTTTTCATAATTTTTAAACGCACATTGAAGGGATTCAATTTTTAATTGAGAAATTAAGCGAGTTAATTGAAATATATGAATATCAACGCAGGATAAATTATTTAGTATAATTATTCAAATCATTAGTGTAATTCAATTAGGTACATTTTCTTCGAAGCAATGATTAATTTATGTTTATCAATGTTTTTCATGATTTGATATTTTTATTGTATCAATATATAGAAAATTAATTTCAGTATATTTTTTTATCAAATATTTTATTACTTTAGATAGTTTTAGTTAACAGAATTGTTATTTCAGATTTAAGTAATTGTTTACGTTAAACAGAAAATACATCACATTTATATTTTGAAGAAGTAAAAGAATTATTAGTTGGAGCTTTTAATCATTTTGAAATGCACTTCGAAGAGATACAATTTTTGATTGAGATATTGAGCGAGTTAATTAAAAGATATGAATATCAATACAGGATAGATTACTCAAATAATTGTAGCAGTTAGATTAGGTACATTTTCTTCGAAGCAATGATTAATTTATGTTTATAAATGTTTTTCATGATTTGATATTTTTATTGTATCAATATATAGAAAATTAATTTCAGTATATTTTTTTATCAAATATTTTATTACTTTAGATAGTTTTAGTTAACAGAATTGTTATTTCAGATTTAAGTAATTGTTTACGTTAAACAGAAAATACATCACATTTATATTTTGAAGAAGTAAAAGAATTATTAGTTGGAGCTTTTAATCATTTTGAAATGCACTTCGAAGAGATACAATTTTTGATTGAGATATTGAGCGAGTTAATTAAAAGATATGAATATCAATACAGGATAGATTACTCAAATAATTGTAGCAGTTAGATTAGGTACATTTTCTTCGAAGCAATGATTAATTTATGTTTATAAATGTTTTTCATGATTTGATATTTTTATTGTATCAATATATAGAAAATTAATTTCAGTATATTTTTTTATCAAATATTTTATTACTTTAGATAGTTTTAGTTAACAGAATTGTTATTTCAGATTTAAGTAATTGTTTACGTTAAACAGAAAATACATCACATTTATATTTTGAAGAAGTAAAAGAATTATTAGTTGGAGCTTTTAATCATTTTTAAATGCACTTCGAAGAGATTCAATTTTTGATTGAGATATTGAGCGAGTTAATTAAAAGATATGAATATCAATACAGGATAGATTACTCAAGTAATTGTAGCAATTAGATTAGGTACATTTTCTTCGGAGCAATAATTAATTTATGCTTATCAATGTTTTTCATGATTTGATATTTTTATTGCATCGATATATCTTTTGTTCAAATATTTCATTATTTTATGTAATTATCAGTATTATTTTACGACAAAGTTTTTCTCTTATTTATTGACTTGGGTAGATTTAATATTTAAATTCTAGAACGTCTCTTGTTTCGAAGAAAAGCGAAATTTCTATACGCTACGGAGTTCGAGTAAATCGAATCTCCTGCCTGCTCTTCTCTTTACATTTTAATTAAAAGCAAAAATGAATATAATTACTATGGAACTGTGTGGAAAGAGTTTTCGAAACTTCTGGGAGCCGAGCGCAACTTTGGCGTGATTCGCGATAAACATTGATTAGTTATGCAAAATGAGATAAATTAAAGTAAGCCCGCAATTTGCATCGCTGAAGTCAAATTAATTAGAAATTCCTTGTCTTCGTGAATATCGTACGCTTCAAAGATCTCGAATTTCACCTTCTTTCTATCGCGCTTCAATTTTCTCTCCAAACTTCCACACGCCAGCAGCTCTCAAAAGTTTAACAATCAACAAGCATCTCTTGTCCTTAAAATGAGATAACTTCGTGTAAATTTAAGCAAATCTTCTCTTCTGCCGTGAAACTCCCGAACCCTCCTATCTCCCCTCTGTTTCTTTTCTCTCTAACGCCGTTTGAATTATGTTACAGGTTACACCGATGACACAATGCGACGCGTAATTTTCCAACGAATCTAGTCTATACGGAAAAACAGGGCAGCGCGTTTAACGAAAAAAAAACAAACAAAATAGAGAAACCCACCGTTTGTTCGATGCAAGTCAATGTTATTTACCTGGAAAGAGAATCTCTCTTTCACTTTCTGCCTTCCGAGAGTCGCGATCGTTTCCTTCCTTCGATCAACCTGTATTATTCCTGTCTGTTTTAACGGCAGAGAATCTTTCGTGCCTTCGAGCGAGAACTTCTTACGCGCGAAGGACTTTCAAAGCAAACGGTTGCATCTACAAACGTCATATACACACCACTACTTAGTATTTTTAATCGTTGGAACTTCGTCCATTTACAATTATCTTTAATGTACCGTGCAGCAGTTTTTTTTTTCTTTTTTTTTGTTTTTGTTGAATAATCGTTCAAAGTAGGAGTAACATTGTTCTTGTAGCAGAATCGAGAAGTATTTCCAATCTCTGATCGCATCGAGTTTGGAAGATTTTTGCAAGATGTTCTATCGATGTTAGTGATATCGCGTGTGTTCTTTAATCGTTAATTCTCGAGTCGAACTCGAGTGAAAAACGAGACACGTGTGTGTGTGTATGTGTACACGAGACACGTGAAGAAAACGAAGGGGGAAGAAACAAAGGAGTAAGAAAGAAACAATGGTATAATAATTGCAACATGCAACACGTCAGTATTCTAATTTAATGGTAGTTGTAACGATAAGTTTAATGGACCGTGTGTTAGGAGACTAGCATGCGTTACTTTCGATCGTGTATCGCGTGGAGAATGACGCTGGCGGCAAACCTCCGACAACATTTTACTTTAAGCTTCGTCTCGACATGCGTTAGGTGTTCCCAAAGAATCGCGTTTTATCGACAATCGCGTGAAGCTGGTTGGTAGAGGAAAAGATTGTCCGGGAAGATTGTTTTAGGAAAGCTAATATATACATATATTTTAATGCGAGATCGATGAGAAATATTGAATCGAACAGAGACAATAAAGAAACCGCATGTGTGCCTGAAAATAATAATAAAGAAAGTAATTGATATGAATCCGAGTGAGTTTATTTTTCTTCCATTTTTTTACGAATTTTAATGAATTTTTTGGTAATTAGAAAAAAATTCACTGTAGAGTAAACTAGAAAATTTGGATGATAGATTTAGGTAGGAGTGAAATGTATCCGAAGGTACGTATAGAAATATATTTTACTGAATAATGGTAGGTACTTCGTTGCGTATTAAATTCCATCTAAATTCACAGGATAATAAAATATTTACAGCGAACAGTGGCTAAGGATTTCATTATTTCGGATTTAATTCGGTTGGTAACACACTGTTTTTATGCATAATTAAGTTACTTAAGCATGAAATCAGATGGTGTAGCGTGATATTCGTTAAAATTCTCCCTCGAAGTGCGTATAAATTGTGTAACCATTCTCACGGTAATAATAATTCTATGTCGAGACAGATGAATTTAATTACACACGCGTATATGTGTATAATAAATTTCCCTTCGTTGGATCAATTATCGATCATCGTTCCGCGTTATGTATGTCGTGTAATTAAAATTCACGATCTCGTTTGTAACGAGAGAAACGGTATTTCCCTTTTTTTCCATTCCTTTGCACCTTCGTCTTGCACCACACGTTCTCCAGTTCCAAGGAGAAAAATGAAACAGCTTTAATTTTTCATTTATAGTCTTTTACGTCGCTCCACGAAATGGAACATTTTCTGAATAACCTTATGCATTTTCGAGGTTTCTCTTATAGTTAGAATTCCAGTTTCCTTCGTGTGAGAAATTAGATTACACGATGAAACGAAAATTTGCAGTTTTTAGGCCTCGAGAAATTGCAATATTAAACAATTATAGGCATGCAAAATACGTGCCTTTTCTTATATTTAAAATTCCACTTTCCTTCATGGGAAAAATTAGGTTACTCGAAGGAACCGAAAGTTAAATTTATTAGGTTTCGAAAAATTGCAGTATTAAATAATTATAGGTATATAAAATAAATGTCTTTCTTTGTATCTAATTTCCCACTCTCCCTGATATTAAAAATTAGGTTACTCGGCGAAACAAAAATTTTCATGTCTCAAATTTCAAAAAGTCGTTTCTACTTTCCATATTTTATTTATATAAAATACACGTCTATCGGGATCCAGCTCACAGTAAAATAAATATGTATAGCACAGCTTGACAATATTTCTAACACCGCTATTTCACACCGTAACCTTTTATACCCGGTGATTCCGTGCAATTTTCTCCAATAACACGAAACGAAGAAAGCACCAGGTACACTCTCTCGAACCGCGACAATGATAATCCAGCACACGTATCGAGAAGCGATTCCAGCTAGAGATTTCTCGCTGCTCGGCTCGGTCAGCTGAAGGGAAAGGTACAAATTCAAATAAATACATGAAAAAGTAGCGTGTCAACTCGCGACACGGAAGTTTCACTCGGATGAATTTTGTCTTGGAAAAAAATGCACGATCGGAAATTTTTCGCCTCGAATGGCGTGAAATTACCGGTGTAAAGTTGGGCCATTTCGAATCTCGTTATTGCACGAACCCACCTCACGATACTTCCGCGGGTTTTCCTATCGGCACTCTGTAATACACAGTATTCGATGGATTTTATTACAGCGCGAGGGAATGGAATGAAACTGCAAAATGCGCCATTCCTTTCGATTCACTTACCTCAGCCGTGTATGATGTCCTGTCCGGAGTAAAGCTCGCGTTTACGCTCCGCCAGAGCTGAGAGCGTTTGCTCGCTCTTCCAGAAAGCAATAAATGAGCGCTGAAAGGGACGCGCGTGTCACGAATGCGCCTGCGAATCGGGAAATTAATTCGTCCACGGCGCTTTTCAATCGGCCAAACCGACGACTGGATTATCCGTAGATTTTACCACCTCGTTATCGCGATCGCTTTATTCGATGCCGAATAATGCCGTGAACGGGGAGACTGTTTCAGAGGGATAGAGAGTGGAATGGAGAAAAGGGTTGTTGGCAAAATTGTGTCATAGAAGATAAAACAAAATAGACGTATGAATGATTAGCGAAGAAATTAGAGGAAGCAGAAAAATAGTGAAATGTTCAAGGTTTGATAACGCTCAAAAATTAGAAAAATGACAGGAAGGAGCATACTTTTTTAGCATATTGCGTTGTACACTTTAGTTACAAACGTTTTGTCACTTTAGAATTTTGTCAAATATTAAATATATTGCGTTATATGTATATAATACTTGAAATATGCAGTCTGTTATTTTTCTAATTATTATGCATTGTTAAACCTTGAATGTTTCATTCTGCTCGTGATTCTTTCATATTATATATAAGTATGGAAATCGACACATGCGTTAATTATTAAGGTAAGCGACAAGGACAGTCACAGGTAGACACTCGAGTGATAAGGACGTGTTCTTCGTTGGAATCCAAAAGCGTAGATATTTCTTTGCACTACTTCGACCTATTCAGTATTTTATTTTTTTTTTTGAACATATTATAGAAATATGGCTGGTAAAAGTAGAGAGTAAAGAAATCGATAATTAATAAGGATAGAGAATTATACATTAACATTCTTGAAATAAGGGAAATATTAGAATAATCGAATACCTCGGTGATTTTTCATTGGTTCATTGAGAAATTAAATACCGTGGCAGCCGGTAGAAATATTATTCGCAAGGTATCTCGAGATAATTGAAACACAATCTTATCTCTTGTTTCGCGTTTTCAAATCGAAACGTTCTATATCGAATTCCACGAAGCGCCGATACGACGTATGTCTTTTCGTTTTTCGAAAATCAAGGTTTTCGCGCTATGAATGGTTCAAATGAATGCACGGTGCAAAAGTGGAAAAACACGCGTCGGTGTACGCTTGCTAATTTAGTGTGTGTCGAATGAACGTACGCAACAAAAATATCGATAAAAAGAAATATACTTGAAAAATTCTGTTTCAAATATGAAACCACGTTAATTTTTTATTTACCTTCACAGTCATGCTTCGGTTATGAATGAAACGTAACAGAGAAGTAGCAGAAAATAATTTCTCATTAACCTGCATAAATAAGTCCTTGCTTTATGTTAATCTTAACGAAGTATTGTAAAATTTGAAATAAAATCAACAAATAATATTATTTCTTACTCTTCCATGTTTTAGATATTCGTTTAATTGGAGAAAACGAAGTTATTCCGCAGAAAAGTAGCGGAAATTACTCCACATTCTTTAGGCCACAAATCGTATCCTGAAAGTAAATTCTCGCGATGCCTTATTTTGAATTTTAAAAATTTGCAACAGAGTATGAATTGATACAAACTAATTTACCAAATAAGTCAATAATGAGAACAATTGATTTACGAAATGAATTGGTGGAATTCTTCAACGTGCCAGCAATCTTCGTTTCCATCTCTCTCTGACACTATAAATACTTAAACAATTTCTTAATAAAGGCAGCGCGTGTCATCCTATAAAGCGAGCTTCCGATATCGGGAATGAGTTTGTGTATAAATGTTTCAATATTATACGCGTGTAGTCTCACCATTTAACGACGCCTCGTAAAAGATTCCTTAATATCTTGAGCCCATAGTTGTCGCGATCTCCTCTAACGTTAGCGGTTCCTCGCCTAAAATATGAAACGACTAGTGTTTACCATAATTGTTCAGCCGTGGAAACAGTTGATAGAAACGGCGTCGTAAAAATTGATGAAACAACGAAATTCTTTAATACTAGGAAAAATGAGAAAATTCTCCTAGAGAGTAGAGGCTCTCGTTCAATCTCAACTTTTTAATTTACCCTCCGTTCGTATGTTCCACGTTTGTTGCCTCGTAGACGTTCGAACGTATACGTATGATGTGTCCAGCAATCGCAGCGTTAATTCTCCAACTGGGTACGGTTTGAAAATTGCATTCGTGACTGGAAAGTGGACAGATTGCCGATAGATTGAGTTCTCTTACATTGCGGACTATGCGGTCTTACTGTCGTTTAGTGTGGTATTGGGTTGTTCGAGATATTGGGAACGCGTGAAAGTCGCGAAATTCGAGTGAAACACTTGGTTATTTGCGCGAAAATAGCTTGCTGATTACGAAAAATTTCGAGCCTCTGAGAAATGCTTGAGTTACACTACTTGGATTCTGGCAAATGGTCGACTTAGACTACTTAAATACCGAAAAATTCCAAGTTTCTCAGAAATCGTTGACTTATACTACTTAGACTCCGAAAAATTGAAGTGCCTGAGAGATCGTTGTGCTGCACTACTTAGATTCCGAAAAATTCGAACTTGTGCCTAATAGTTGACTTGCACTACTTAGATAAATTAAAAAGATCCTAAAAACCGCGAAATTCGTGTGAAAAATTTAGAAATTTGCGCGAAAATAGCTTGCTGATTCCTAAAAATTCGAGTCTCTGACAAATGGTTGACTTACACTACTTACACCGATTCCGAAAATTTTTTTAAAATTTCTCCTACAAGCCTGCACTCTCATCAGAACTGTTGTCCCCCACTTTTCTCGCATCTATCGACGTCGTTTGCTCCGGCCACTGCTCTTCGACTCTGCTCGGGGCAAAATAGAACTCCGTTGCTCCCCCGAAACGACTGCCTGAACAGTCTTAGTTCCAGATGTACGTGGTGACACAATTGACAAATCAGAAGAATTTCTTATCCCTTGGACAGTTCCCCGTAGGCCTCGAGCATATCGCCCACCTTGAAATTTTCAAGTTGACAAAGTGGCGATATGGGTTTCTGACGAGGGAGCCCCAGACCCAAGGGACGACCGTTCTTAACGGGACTCAAGGGCCTATTTGTCACTATGTGGCTTTACAACGCATCAATCACTATCGAAAGTTTAGAAAAAGGCGTCGGAAAGTCTCGTATGAACCGCAAAAATTCAGAATTAATGCGTCCATAAAACGGCTTATACGCGATCAACGCAGTTTGATAGAAATATCGAGACTCGATCCGTCCAGTTTGATGTATGTAAATATCGAGGATCGATTGATCCAATTTGATAAGAGTATCGAGAACCGGATTTCCAAATGTGTACAAATGTATCGACGATTTCTACTTCAATCTTGACCGTATTTAATAAATAACGTCAATACTGATAGAACGTGTTTAACAATATTGCAAATATTTGCCGGAATTGACGATATCGTTGATTGCGCGTAGACCGAATAAAATTTATCCCGCGTCTAATCGTTTGATTGAAAAAATATTGAGTAAATAATGTATCACTGCAAATAACAGGTAACGAATAAATGTGATAAAATTCTATTCGTTGTTCCAGTAACTCTCATTTTATTCGTCATTTATTATTCGAACACTGGTTCATAGGCGTTCGTGTCGTGAAACCGAAATCTGAACGGTGTTTTTCACGATAATCTCGTGCCTCCTGATGCATAAAGATCAGACTTTCTTTAATCCGTTTGCCTGTCAATTTGCATATTATCCCCGGTGGTGTTTGTTCGATCCTCTCCTTGCTCCGTCAAGATTATGCCGTTCGTTTTGCTCGTGATAAACTCGAAATACGCCTCTTATTTTCGCGGAAAATCACGGAGGATCACGCTCCGTGAAAACCTATTCGTCCTTTTTATTTCCGTATGAATGGCTCGCCGTGACCGGAGATGAAAAAAAGAAACAAGGAATTGAAGTAACATTTGGATTACATCGAACAGATCATCTATCGACGTTCGTGTTCGTTACGTTTTTTGCTTTACGTATCGCCGATGGAAACGTAAACTGATACGATGAAATATTCTGCGCGATTTTTGGAAACTACCAAAGTGAATAGGAGAACGAAAAATCGTAGAAACGAGAGTCCCTTTGTGACTTCGGTACGCTGGGATAGAATAAAGAAGCACCGGAGAACGTGGAAAATATTTACTTTCTCAGATTTACCAACAATAGCTGGTACACTTCGAATCAACATGTATATTTCGATAGATCCGCTTCTCTAACATTTCAGTCTTAATCTATCGAAGAGAAATTACACTTCTGAAAAGGAAAATAAAAAGTTAATTGTAATTACGGATCATTGTAAAATTCTATTTTGTGTAGGAAAGCATTCTATGTCGGGGGGTTATTTATAGGGGTGGAGAAATATGTTGAGAATGTGTAATGACGTTTTGTTTGCGCGGAGCCTTTGTAACCCTGTGAGTTGAGGTTGCAAATTGATCGAGGTATGGGACACGGTTGCAGTAGCAGGAAAAGAACTTTTATATCGTTGAACGGTGATTTTTAAGTAGCAACATACTTTTATTTCACTGTTCACCTTTGAAACTTGAATGCACACATTGTTGCAGTCTCTATTCTCGAATGCAACATCGATGGAAGCACTATTTCGAATGCAAACATTATTACAAGCACTAAGCTTGAATGTAACATTGTTACAAGCGTCATTCTCGCTTGTAACATCGCTAACTCGTATTAATTTCGAATGCACATTGTGGCAAACGTGTTATCGCGTTTGCAACATTGTTGCCGGTAATAGTTCTCGAAAAACGCACGTTGTTGCGCGGGGCGCCGCTTTGCAACTTTGTTGCCACGATGCGCTCCCGAAAATTGCACATTGTTGCAAAACGCGTTATCGGGTTTGCAACATTGTTGTCGCGAAAATTGCACGTTGTTGCACGACGACCCGTTTTGCAACATTGTGCACTGTTCGGGAGCGATTATTGACAACAAAGTTGCAACCGCGATCTCTCGTTTCGCAACTTTGTTGCCGGGAGACGCTCCCGAAAAGTGCACAATGTTGCAAAACGGGGCGTCGTGCAACAACGTGCACTTTTTCGCGACAACAATGTTGCAAACCCGATAACGCGTTTTGCAACAATGTGCAATTTTCGGGGGCGATTCGCAGCAACAAAGTTGCAAAACCGTTAATGCGCGTTTTTACGCAAAACATTGCCACGAGCATTTACTTGAACACTTGTATTCAAATGAAAAAGTGCTAAGCCACATTTTCAACTTATTCATCTATAGATAATGCAGCTTGTACGAAAGCATCTGTATGGAAAATATATGCATTAACAGTGTTCCTTATTAAAATAAGTTTTATACTAAGTAGAAATTTCATCGCATTTGAAATGAAATATACTTACAATACAATTGAAACCTCCCAAAGTTAAGTTACCATCGAATTCTTAGAACCCTCCACCGATTAACCAGCAAAAACGACTCACAGAAATAATAATATCGAAATTTTAAAACAGTACCGTTCATAATTCTTACCTACCTCTCGTACAATATCCTAAAGCAATTTATGAGCACATCAATTTCCACGTCCATTCGAGTCACCCTCTTTTATTTTATATAGAATTAAAAATTTAAAGAATTTTTCCATTAAAATACCACTTAATTACCCAAAAGTATCGATCGACGCTCTAACTGCCGCGTGATAATTGCAAGTTTCGCCAAAAGCGTCGAATCATTGAAACACCTAATTACAGAAAAACATCGATAGACACTTTAATCCCCCTTTGCCCGTATTTTCCACGAGCATCGAATCGAAGAAAATACCCCCCTCCCCAGTCGATTAATAAAAAATTCCATTCCCCGGTAGAACCTCCACTGTTGTTAAATACACACGCACGCTGCACAATAAATTACTTCGCCGGCGAAACTTCCCCGCGATCATTATAACACGCTTTAACAGCAATACACCCGACACTCTTCGACATAGCGCGCTCATGCAGAAACCTTCATGGAGGGCAGAATGGCGTGTTAAAGGGTCGACATCGGTCTTCAGTAATTAATTTCCTGTTACCGTCTTAATTACTACGGGTAACACGATAACGAGCACGGTCGTTAATAATGTAAGTTTTCGTAAATCTCCGACGTGTAACGGTACGCATGTACATCAAGATCGTTACTATTTCGTTGATTACCAACGTGAGACGAGAATATCCGCGTAACACCGGAGACGAGATATTTCGTTCGTAATCGAAGGTGTTTCTCGTAAGCTCGTCACTTGGTCCTCTTCTCGCCGTTGTTGTAGCCCAACTTGAAGAAATCTTTGAGCACGACGTTGAACGTTACGGTAACAATACCCTCTACTCTCATGCGCGTGACTGCAATTATAAAGGAAGTTATTACTCGTGGCGCGCAGCTCTTGATCAGGTGAGAACGTGGCTTTTCCGCCGTGGTTCACGGCGTCTGCGAGTCACGGCAAATAAACCGTGTTGTCGAGGACAAATGCTTTCGTTCGTTTAACACTTCATCTCGCGTTATACCAGCAAGATCGCGAAATATCGTTAAACGTCCGGCTGAGAATCGGTTCGTAGAAACGAGCTGCTAGCGCGATTAAAAAGGGGACGGGAATTATTACTGTGATCGTAAAACGGTTCGATTTCGGTGCCGAATACGGCGTTAACTGGACGATTCGGCAGGATGGACCATTTGTTGGGAATTTAATTAATTTTGGACGAATTGAGTGTCGGTTTGATTCAGTAAGATTTCTTATTAAATTTAAATTTCAGGTTTGCGTGAGTTGGAAGGAGAGAAATGTGAAGATTTGGAATTTATGTCTCATTTTTAACCTCTTCAGGGACAGAGAAAGAAATTATCATATTAAATCGACAGCAATTGAACTATTTCTCTTATCGGGAGATTATGCGATAAATTCCGAGTGAATCACAAAATTGGAATTTCCAAAAGCGTCACTGTCCTCGAAGAAGCTAAAAATTTCATCCAAATTGTAGAGATGTCTTGCGTAATTGAATTAATATCTCGGGAGCATCAACGACGTAACTCGACGATAACAGAAACGTAGTAGCTTCTTATCAGTGTCTAAAAATCAACGAAAAAAAGTTTCCATTGATAGAACAAACAAGCAGAAGAAGTTACAAATGGATTGTCTGACTGACAAGGGCGAGGAAATAAGAGAGGGATAGAATTATTTCCAATATTACGTGACAGCAATAATTGATATCGGTAAGATCAGACGTATCAATTAACCGATGCTCGAGGATTCGGTACCGTGGAGATAGTTTAATTCGTTCCTGTCCGCAGATACGAAACGTGCACGTTAATACGCTTGACGTATCGACTGTCCCTAATACGCTGAATCTTGGCAAGTTCAATTAATTTAATGTCAGCAGAGGTGCACGTCATCGCAAACCGAACACGGAATGCTTCAAAATATTGCCTTACGTTCCCTTCCGCCGCCAGAGGCCAATATCGCTGGATCAATTAGTTCTGGCCTTCTTCCGGTTAACCAGGCCACAAATCGTTGTAACGACGAGGAGGACTCCGGCACATAGACGGACACCCTGCACAATTTCATTCTATTATAATAATCGGTGTACGATGTTCCGTTGCCTGGTTAAATATCACTTGATGTTTGTTGCCGGATTGCTCGAAATTGCTGATCGATAGAGCAGACATTTTCGAAGTAAATTAGCATAGACCGACGCTCTCGTTCGTAAGTAAATATTAGGACACTTGTCGAGTGTGAAACGTGACTAAATAATTATTGCAAAATTATTCAAATTTTGTTGAAAATTGTTCTGCTTCGAATTTCATAATAAGAGTAAACAAATGGAATTTTAATTGTATACTTTGTGTGTGAAAATTATGGGTGTCCTGATATTTCTGAACTATAGCGTATTTTAGTAAGACGACGATTGGTGGATTTTATTTTTCGGTATAGAAATTCTTTTGCATCGATATTGAATTATAAAAGTGTATTCAGAAAGTTCCAGGAAAAATCGAATGCAATAGGAAAATAATTCTCATTGCTCGCAATTATACGAGCGATTCTTTTTGACAGCGTCGTTGAAACTTGATTTTTAGGATGGCTTTTAATTCGTTCAACCAATTTCGTTTTATCGTCTCAATGGACTCAAAACGGCGTCCCAGTAATGGAAGTTTCATTCTGGAAAACTGCGAAAAAATGGCACGCATCGACGATGTTAGTCTAGTTTTTTCGGCGAAAAAGTCGATTTGTTATCGCGTCTGCGAAATCAGTGAGTTATTTTCCAGTAAATCCGACAGCTTTTCACGGATCGAAAATAACACCAAAGTAGCATTATTTATCGACTGTTTGACAAGTGAATAGGAGATTCTCGGTATTACGTTTTAGCGTTTTTTTTTTCTTTTCGTAAGAGTTTTTCCAGGAACTTTTTGAACAGAATAATAAATCGCGAGGCAATTTTGCAGGTTCATCTTTTAGTTAGAAATACCATGAAGAGATATACCGAGCGTAATTATACTGTGCCAGACGTGAAATATTGCAGAATCATCTGGTTATAACTTCATACCTTTTCTCATGGTGACCTGTTTTCAACGGTAAATGACATACTCCATATCCCCTGATGACGTCGTGGCCGAAGATGTCCAAGCCGTAAATCGACATTATTAACTGGGGCCCTAGGATACGATTAGGTATGAAGCATTTGTAAAATTTCCTGTATTTAGAGTGTATTAATAATGAAACTTCCTATTTGAAAGAATTTCTTCCTTCAGCAATCCTTTTTGAAAAATTATGCATTTTATTTTTGTCTTGCTCAATTCTCGTTGAAAAGAAAATTCATGAATGAAAAGTATCACCAAGTTACGAATTATCAATGAAATTGGTTCTGTCAATATGCTTCCCCCTTTCCTCCATAATAATTTTATCAATGTGCCGAAGAAACAGTTCTTTATTCCAATTTGAAGAATTTCTTATTTAATATCTTATTTTGTCTCTTGCTGAATTCTCGTTGAAAAGAAAATTCATGAATGAAAAGTATCACCAAGTTACGAATTATCAATGAAATTGTTTCTGTCAATATGCTTCCCCCTTTCCTCCATAATAATTTTATCAATGTGCCGAAGAAACAGTTCTTTATTCCAATTTGAAGAATTTCTTATTTAATATCTTATTTTGTCTCTTGCTGAATTCTCGTTGAAAAGAAAATTCATGAATGAAAAGTATCACCAAGTTATGAATTACCAATGAAATTGTTTCTGTCAACAATTTTCCCTTCTTTCTCCATAATAATTTTACCAATGTTCCAAGTAAACAGTTGTTTCTTCCAATTTCAAAACTCCAAAATGAAAAATTCCTTCCTTCAACAAATTGCAGATTCTCGAACAATCTTTTCCAAAAAAATATGAAAATCGAAAAGAAAAACCCCTTCACCAGTGTGCCAAACAAACAGTAGTTCACGAAACAGTTATCCACTAATCGATACAAACTATTTAATCCCCGGGGAAAAACTCGACATTCGTTCCACTCACATCCATGAGGGTTAGTGCTTTTGAACGTGGCTTCCAGAGGGAAATTCCAAACGATCAGGTTTCGTTCATCGTTGCTGCAGTTGCACATCTGCGTCAGGCCCTCCTCGATACCCTAACAGAATTGTACGAGTCACTAAACGATCGAAGTTCGAACTCACGTTACGGAACCGAGCGAAAACCGCTGTCATTCCACCCCGATGTGACAGTGTGTCAGCTCGTTGAACACAAAATAACTCACAGCGACTACGCTCCATTCTGGGCCAAAGTGAAATCCGTACTTGCAGTAAGCGTTATCAACGTTGTAAAATTCCGCGTGCTCGATCGTCCCGGTTATCGAAAGAAAGAATTCACCCTCGACAGACATAACGAACTGATAACTATTTTCTGGTTTATTATTGTTGAAATAAAAATTGCTTGGAAGAGAAGAAAAGAGGATCCTTTTGAGCGAAGAACGGACTCGCGTCGAGCTTATTTATACTCGTCCAGGCTTTGTGTACTGTTAGGCGAATTGGTCGTCGTGGTAACGAAGCATGCGCCTCTCTTTTAGTGGAACATGTGTCGCGTTTAACAATTGAAACGCACCAGGTGGACGGAATTTCTTTGTCTCGCTATTCAGAGAAAGCGTCAGACGTGTTAATTGTTGATAATCCTCTGTGTTTCTGACAGTTTGCGTTATATGTATCAAAAGGGAAGTTCGCTTTGACGCTGGTTATTAAATATTCGAAAAAGTTCAAGCTCGCTATTGCGGATGCCTGTTTAATTAAACGACATGAAAAGTAGTAACATTGTTACGCTGAAAAGGTGGACATAAATTCTTGGAAATAAGCTGCACAGTGGAGTGGAATATTTTAATTAGAGATTTATAATTAATCCCGGAAGGTGTGGATTAGTGCTGGAGCAAGTATTTAAAGAATTCATTTTGTGGAAGTGAAAAATTGATGCAATCTTAAATCTCTCTTCACCTTTTTCGTAAACAGTAACTTCAATCAAAACCGAAAGCAAATAATAATACACATAAAACTGTGAACCAAATAAAAATACCATTGAAAAAAAAGAATCAAATACGAAGTATACATCCCGAGAGAAAAGAATAATCGATAAAAAACTGTGAACCAAAGTAAAACACTCTTGAAAAAAAAAATCAAATAGGAAGTACGCACCAAAAATAATACCAACAAAACTGTCAACGAAAGAGAAATACCGGTGAAAGAAGGAATCGAACAGAAAATACATACTAAAGGAAAAAGGGGGGGGGGGAATACTATCGAGCACAAATAATAGGAGAAACGACAACAACACACGTATAAAACATGGTCGAATAAAAACCACATTGTTTTGCTCGCTGTGCAACCGTTCTTTTTTTTTTTCTTTCTTTTATTTGTTCGTCGCGTAACAACAGCGATCCCTTACATTTGATCGAATCAGTCGTATCTAGAAAACGGTATAACCACGTTCCTGTCCTACATTCCGGACGATATATAGTATATACAGAAGATTCCATCGAGCCAGAACGAAGCACACACTCGACGGGAGCATGCAATCTCGACGTGCCATCGGCGGGGCTGTACACGATTTAAAAATGAACACGTTGGCACAGTCGTCTCCTATCGATGCGTGGAAGTTTCCTCTCGCAACACTCTCTCTATTTCGTAACTCTCCCTCTCATCGATGTATGATGCTTTTCCCATGAGGATACGGCTTGTACGCGGAACAATGTACATCTAAAAATGATTCGATTTTTATTTCCTCACTCTCTCTCTCTCTCTCTCTCTCTCGCTTTCTTTATCTCTAAGACTAACTGTGTATACTAAAAATTCGGCTAGTTTATTATCTTTTTCGTCTCGAAATGTGTCACCCGACTTGGTTCATCACTCTCCGAATAACTAAATCCTCTACGACGAACGACAGACGTCCGTGTACGTATGTATAATTGGTCGAGGTATCTGTCACGGGGGAAAAAAGAGGCGAACGCACACCAATTGTCGTTGTTTCGTCTGGCAGAGTGTATACTTGTGAACTGCTGGTTCTTTTTTCTCCCCTTCGATCCGATATCTCACAACCACTCTCGCGACGTGTTCACGATAATGTTACGCAATTCTACCTGGAAGATTAGAGTGTTACACCGGACGGTCTTGATTCGCGCGGTCTTACCATCGGCATACACACAACTAACTACGAGATCGTGGTACGTCTCTTCGAACGATGACGCTTTCGGGCGGTTCCTCGATGATCGAGATTCTCTACTTGCCGCTGGCGATCTCCTTCATACGGTTCAGAGCCGAGCCAGCTTTGAACCAGGATATCTGTTGCTCGTTCATCGTGTGATTCAGACTGATGGAGTCTACTTTGCCGTCCTTGTGCTTGATCTCTGCTTTTACAGGCTGAAATAGGGAGGAAAGATACCAGTCATCTCGAGTGATTTTTAATTAGAATATTTAACAGATTGATTAAAAATAGAACTTCCTATTTCTCACTTGGCAGCGAAGTTTCATTCTTCTGGGATATACATAGGTAAAGTTCAAGGGCGAGGATCAAAGATTGGACGCTTGAACGAGGGTAGAAAATGTTTGGCTATTTCGAGTGTCAATTTTGTATAATGTGACATTAATGGTCGAACTTTAACCCTTTGACTGCTGGCAACTCGAAAGTAAAGCTCCGACTACGAACGACTGCCGTACGTTAGCCGAATATTTTGTATTTTGTATTTGCAAAGTAGGTAATATGTGGATGTAAAAAATAGAATGTGAATAGGAAGTGGGGTGATAATATTCAGCGATCGATTATCATTGTTGGAAGCTCTATTCAGCTTAAAACTTTGAAAATGGAACTCCGTTCGAAAGGGGTAATTAGCGTACCTTGCCAGGCGCGAGATCCTTCAATCCCAGAAGGCTGATCTTATCGGTAGGTTGAATCTTGTCGTAATCGCTGGGATTGGCAAAGGTCAGGGGCAACAGTCCTTGTTTCTTCAAGTTGGTCTCGTGGATACGAGCGAAACTCTTCACGATAATAGCACGGCCGCCCAGATGTCTTGGTTCAAGAGCAGCGTGCTCCCGAGACGAACCTTCGCCGTAGTTTTCGTCACCGACAGCCACCCATTTCACGCCGTTCTTCTTGTAATGTCTGGCAACATCGGGAACTTTGCCCCATTCGCCGGTTAATTGGTTCTTGATCTTGTTCATCTCTCCGTTCTCGGAATTTACAGCTCTGTAATAGTTGCGAAGACACCGTGTTAGTTTTATCTGATGGAATTAGGGTGAACGTAGAAGAATTTACCCAATGAACATGTTGTTCGAGATGTTGTCCAAGTGACCACGATATTTCAACCATGGTCCAGCTGCCGAGATGTGATCAGTGGTGCATTTGCCTTTGACTTTGATCAAAATGGTCATGTCGGTGAGATCTTGGCCGTTCCATTTGTCGAATGGTTCCAACAATTGTAATCTCTCGCTCTTTGGGCTCACGTCGACCTTAACTTTGCTGCCATCGGCTGGGGGAGCGTCGTAGGTGTCCATTCCGGGGTCGAAACCGCGGCTTGGAAGCTCGTCGCCTGGAATAATCGATGTTTTGATTATTTGGAGAATTTTTTCTTTGAAAATTTTGACGGGAAATTGAGTGAAATATTTGGAATTCTGGATAATTTAGGCTTACATTTTTATCACATGGTGAAAAGCCTTAGAGAATTTTTTATTAGAAAATTTTGACGAGAGATTTACTATTATGGATAATTTATACTTGAATTTTTGTTATATCGTGAAAACCCTTAGAAAATTTGCATGAGAGATTTAGCGTTCTCGATAATTTATGCTTTTTTGATCACATGGTGAAAAGCCTTGGAGAATTTTTATTTGAAAATTTTGACGAGAGATTTACTGTCCTCGATAATTTATGCTTGAACTTTTATCATATAGTGAAACCCTTTGAAGATTCAAATGACATTTCCCGTAATTCAGAGATATCACATTTCTAGCTGTTGCAAAAAAAAGTTCGTCAAATAAAAACGGCGATGTACGAAATTTGTTATTGGTAGCTCTTTAAAAAACATCTGACGAAACATTTTGCAAAACCGTCCTATCTGATTTCTTGTCACAAACACTCGTTATCGATAAAATTAATGTCCCAGACGTGAAAGAACTTTGTTCGTGGTGCAAAAACTGCGCAGCGATAAATTCACAGTTTATCGTTGATTTATTACATGCATGCGAAATCGTCGTCGTCTGTGTGTATAATTAACTCGATCCATTTAACGTTGACTTAGGATGAAATTCTTCAAGGAAGTACGTCACTCTTCGCAGTGTGATATCTAATTTAAAACCCAAATTTAGTCGTCTGTGTAGACATTCTACGACTAGATTTGATATCACGCATGTACGAGCATATTTTAACTGGTTATGAAAGAGATACGGCGAACAAAGTGACTCATGTTTAATTATCTGTAAATTAGACAGCATCGTAGTCGAGTGATTAGACTTACCGAACGGATCTTTGAGGAGAAATTCCTTTCCATCTTTACCCTTGAGCTTATCGGTGACTGGGTTGAAGTCGAGACGGCCGGCGATCGAAAGGGCAGTGACGAGTTCAGGGCTAGTGACGAAAGCGTGTGTCGCGGGGTTAGCGTCGTTTCTTCCGGTGAAGTTACGATTGTACGATGTGACGATGGTGTTCTTGTCTCCCTTCTTGATGTCTTTACGGTCCCATTGACCGATGCAGGGTCCGCAAGCGTTGGCTAAGACGGTTCCGCCGAATGCGCGAAGAGTTTCCGCCTAAATAATGAGGGATCGTTATTTGAGTGAGAAGTTTGCAATATTCCTGAGATTTAGAAAGCTTAGAAAATGAGTAATATGGAAAATTTGGAATGATTATAATTTTGGGGATTCGAAAGTTTGCAATAATTATTATTTTGGCGATTCGAAAATTTGCAATATTCCTGAGATCTCGAAAGCTTAGAAAATCGATAATATGGAAAATTTGCAATAATTATAATTTTGGCGATTCGAAAATTTGCAATATTCCTGAGATCTCGAAAGCTTAGAAAATCGATAATATGGAAAATTTGCAATAATTATAATTTTGGCGATTCGAAAATTTGCAATATTCCTGAGATCTCGAAAGCTTAGAAAATGAGTAATATGGAAAATTTGCAATAATTATATTCTCAACGATCTGAAAATTTGCAATAATTATAATATTTTCAACGATTCGAAAGCTCGCACTATCCTCGTTACAAAAACTAAAACTTCACACTATCTTCAATAAATAAAAATCTCTCACAATTAATCTTCCTATCTCCCAAAATTTATCTCATACATCCTCCCTATAATTTTTCTACAACTTCGCCACCTATTTCAAATCGATTTCACTGTCACCTCAATTTATCCCATCACGTGAATCGACAAGCCTCTATTTTTTCTTTTACACTGTCAAAATACATCGAAGCCAAATTAAGAATTGGCGTGGGCTGCGTGACTAGTCGCTAAGTGACATCTACCAATGTTTGGCACTGTGCCAAAAACACTGTGCAACTTCTATCCGAATACAAGCTTTCTAATCGATTTATAATGATATTTTATCAGAAAAAAACCTACGATTCCGTCACGTTCGATGGTAGCACGAATCTGTTCAGATCCTGGTGTAACGTTGAACGCAGACTTCGCTTTCAAACCGTGTTCAATGGCTTGTTTCGCGATGTTCGCACATCGACCCATGTCCTCGTAAGAGCTGTTTGTGCAGGAACCGATCAGACCGACCTTGATCTCGTTAGGCCAGCCATTCTTCTTGGCAGCGTCACCTGGTCGCCATTATTATGAACGATGTAGTTCTTTGATAACGTTTTTCTTTTTCTTTTTACAAATTCAACACCTTCGAGGGATCGCACATTTCATTTTCTCACAGCACAGACGTTATTCTTAGCAGTCGATCTTCCAAATTATTTTTGTACCTCTAAAATTAGACTAGGTACCGCGTAAAATTTTTTAAAGTACTCTAAGCTCTCTACAGAAGCTTAGAAAATTGCCATCGATTTTTTCCAACTGAAGATTACAGTCAGCCTCTTCGAAATTATCTTTGTATCTCTAAAATTAGACTAGGTACGAAGTAAAATTCTTAAGAAACTCTAACTCCTCAATTTCCTCTAAATTTTTTCAAAGTGAAAAATACTCGTAATATTAAAATTGATCTACTTGGAACATACACAATCCCTCGATCTCACCAAAACACGTTCCACTTACCCAATTTAGAGATAGGATGGGCAAGATCAGGCGTGAATGGTCCATTGACGTGTGGTTCCAAGGTAGACAAGTCCAGTTCGATAATTTGATCGTATTTCGCGTTGGAATCGGCAGTTAACAGGGTCTCTTTGTGCTGATCAGCGGCACCAGCGATTTCAGAACGGCCAGTTGCTCTCAGATAATCCTGCATACGATAGTTATATGGGAAGATCGAAGTGGTAGCGCCAATTTCAGCTCCCATGTTGCAAATTGTCGCCATTCCAGTGCAGCTGATACTGTCGACACCAGGGCCGAAGTATTCAACGATAGCTCCAGTTCCTCCTTTCACCGTCAGGATACCAGCAACTTTCAGAATGATGTCCTTAGGGCTGGTCCATCCTTTCAACGTTCCAGTCAGCTTCACGCCGATTACCTTAGGGCATTTCAATTCCCACGGGATGCTCGCCATTACGTCGACAGCATCTGCACCACCGACACCGATGCAAAGGCAGCCTAAACCGCCACCGTTTGGTGTATGGGAATCGGTACCGATCATCAACAAGCCCGGGAAGGCGTAATTCTCCAAGATGATCTGGTGAATGATACCAGAGCCGGGATTCCAGAAACCAACGCCGTACTTGGCACCTGCTGTCTTCAAGAAGTTGTACACTTCTTTGTTGATGTCCTTTGCACGTTTCAAGTCTTGTACTCCGCCGACTTGAGCTTCGATCAAGTGATCGCAGTGGATCGTCGAAGGAACGGCGACTTTGGGCAGTCCTGTGGAGAGAATTGATCGTTGTGAATAGTTCTGTGAATTTATTCATTAACATTCTATGTTTATCCTCCGTTAATTAATATTCTCTGATCAGAGTGTAAATAATTTCAAGACACCCTATTTAGAGTGAAAAATTTAGGAAATTGAAGCGGAGGAGTAGAAATCTTTACATAGTGATTCCTTCCGGAGATGTTTCGAATCGATCGCGAAACGTGAAATCAGAATTAGCGCTTTCGAGTGAATTATCGATACTTTATGTCGTACCAGAGCTGATAAACTGTAACATAGCCATCTGTGCAGTCGCGTCTTGCATAGCCACGCGATCTGGTCGTAGCCTAAGGTAGCTGGTGCCACGAACGATTTCCTGTTTGTCGGGTTCATCGAGATGGGAGTACAATACTTTCTCGGACAACGTCAGTGGTCGGTTCAATCTGCAATAATTTCATTAATTTTACCAATATTTCCTTGAAATGTCCAGAGTAAATCTGCGATAATTTCATTGTTTTTCCAAAATTTCGCGAACTCTGCTTGATTTACACTTGCCTTTTCTTCACAATCTTAAGTCTGTCCTCTAACTTGTCGTACGGAAGATAAATATCGGAGTCGAATTTGGACATCGCCACCTTTTGGGCGGCAAAGCTCAACGCGCTTACGCTGAAACATCTTTGCTGGATGTCTGTCGCGAGAACGACCGCTTTCTGCGAAAGAAAATTTCCCAATGAAAAGTAACGAAACTTGGAAGAAACGAAGAATCTTTCTTAAAAAATTCCGGACAACCTGTCCCAGGCAGGAATTCTATAAATAACATCGCGAAACGCGCAAAAACACGCTTAACTATTCATCGTTGCGAATTTGTTGATTTCATTTGCATAATTGCTTTGCTTTTTTCGCACGCGCGCGCGTGCTGCCACGATTACCTTTATTGACAATGTTTCCTCGTGGATAACGCGAGGTTAAATATGTCCATAAATAAGAACAAACGCGATTTGTTGTATTTTTAGCCGAGGATTACTAACGGCTGCATTCTATCGCCTCGAAGAGGAACAGTTGAAAAAGCAATTATGATAATAGAACAGAGTGTCTATATCTGCATTTTACTATGTGCTTAACTTGTTGCGTATAAGTATGTACATATTACGAAATAGTTCTAATAGATACCACCTATATACACCAGACAGTTACGTAATTCGATTATTCGCGGAGGGCAAAAATTTGAAACTTTCCTCGCGTTATCGCGCACAGGTATTCGGGAATCATTCGGAACAAAAGAACACACGAAAAATTCTCCTATCTCCTCTCTCTGTCTTTACTCTCGATGTTATCAATTCGTATCTCTACATTCTTATCGCGAAGAAACTTTACAACTACTTTGTGTGCGACAATAACGACAAAAAGATCGAATTACTCGTCGAGGAGCATACTTTTTCCATTCATCTCTGCCCGCCATTCGGTGCTAGATACTACGCAATGGCCACAATACCTAACCTCGAAGTCCTCCAAAAATGTACCCGATACATATGCACCAACATTCGAAACAGATTATGTAACGTGCAATTATCGTTCTGCGTGCGTTTGTATGTTTAATCTCCGTGTCGTTATCGCCACGATTTATGTGCTCGTTACTGTAACGACGGAATTTCTCCGAAATAGGCACAGACACCATGCTTTTTTCAACAGAGTATCGAGTTCGAGGTCGCGAGTGGAATTTAGGAAATTTCTGGCTGCATCGTATGTTGCAAAATTTCACACGAACGTCACACAACAGAAGATGTAACACGATCGAGGTAATCTATCTCGAGAGCAAAGTGCAATTCGCGATTATTGCTGGTTGTATAAGATCGTTTCTATCGTGATAGGATTGTCTAATTGGACAAGGAGGGACGGAAAGAATGTTATTTTTCGAGGAATTTCTAAATGAACGACCGATATAGTTCAATTGTAGATTGACACGGTTGACCTTGATAACGGGGTCGAGCGATGAGAACGAAGAATTGGAGCAAGTGGAAAATGGTACGCCGGTTTGAAAATTGAGAGATGGTTTTAATCGAGGATGGTATTGAAGAAGATTGGATCATACCTGGCCTCGAAGTATTCGAGCGCAGTACGACATGGTCGAGGAAAAAAGCCACCCAGTGACGTTGTGAACTCGTGAGAAACTAGTTTGGTAGACGTAAGGGGAGCGCAGGCGCGAGACAAAAGGACCAACGAAATTATACGCGATTCCTCTCGTGGCAGCCCTTCTCAAACCGGCCACTAGAGAACTGAGGGAAATTCAGCTTGGCTTTCTCGTGTCAATGCAAAAGAGCCACGCATGCGCCTTATCAGTTGGCCCGTTTAAAATACAAGCTTCGCGAGAACGACGATATCGGCGCTCCTAAGCGTTCCTCGGCTTTCTCAAGAGCCGCCGATGACGTCACCGGACAGCAAGTAGTGGCGCGGCAATCGCTGCTCGAGGAACTTTGAAAGTACGGTTGGAGAGCTCCAATTGCTTTGGAGAATTTTTTCGGGCACTCTAAAATTACAGCAATAAAAATTATGGAAGCATTCTTCGAAAGAAAAATGATATTAAAATTAGAAAATTATTTATTAATCTAGATAGTTTGCATGGATGGAGAGCTCCAGGTGCTATGAAAAATTTTTTGGAGCATTGAAAAATTAAGGCAGTAATAATTATCGAAG